TAAAAATAATTAAAACATAGTGAAGCAATATAAAATAATATTCAAAATATGAAATTAAATATATATACATAAAATATAGAGTAAAGTGTTGTGGAATAAAATAATTTAATATGAAAAAAATTAAATAGTATAAATAAATAAAAAATATTTAATAATGTAAATTAAGCAAAATAAAATATAAAATTAAAAAAGAAATTAAAATAAGTTTTACATATAAAAATAAAATAAAGTAATTTTTAATTAAATAAAATAAAATTAAATAAACTAAATTTATTAATGCTTTTTGCTGGTCTATACTATTAATTTTTATTATACGTTTTTTATTGAGCTGAAGGTTTATTTGTTTGTTTGAATTGAATATTTTTATTATACTAAATAGCTGCTAAAATATATTTATATTATTATTAATGAATTGAATAATGCAACAACAGATCTCATGTCTGACGTTGGCGCAGTTGATTCGATCCCTGCCAGAAGAAGTCTGATGATGAGATTTCACAAACAGCCGCCACTTCTACCAATTTTCTTTGCTATATAACAAAAAAAAAATATTCAATTCAAATAAACAAATTGACATTCAGCTCTCTAAAAAACCTATCATGTAAACTAAATTAAAATGAAATACAAAAATTAAGCTAAATAAATAAAATAAATTATATTAAAAAAAATCAAGAAAATAAAACAAAAAAAAAGAAACAATTAAATAAAATAAAAACAAATTAAAAACTAATAAAATAATTAAATTAATGTAAATTTAATAAAATATAGAATTAAATAACTACTTACTTTACTGGTGTAGACACGACAACATTGCGCCATTTGTTTCTTCTTTTTGCTGTTTGGCGCCAATTGGAAATACAAAGTACAGGCAGGCCCTTCTCTATTTGGTCTTTCCTTTTCCTCTGCTTTTAGCCGCGGGTACTGCATCGAAAACTTTCAAAATTGGAGTATTCTCATCCATCCGGACCACATGACCTAGCCAGTGTAGCCGCTGCTTCTCAATTCGCTGAACTACACGCATAACAATGTCGCCGTATAACTCGTACAGCTCAACGTTCCCTCGTCTGCGATATTCGCCGTTGCAAAAGGACCATAAATCTTAAGAAAACCCTTCTCTCGAAAACTCCTACTAATAAAATAAAATAAAGACAAAAAACATTAAAGAAACTAACATTAAATTAAATTAAAAAAATAAATATATATATTTTTTTTTCAATAGAAAAAGGTGACATTTTATTATCATTTTTGTCAATTAATTTAAATAAAAAAATATAAAAATTAAAAATAAAATGATATTTAAAGTTTCTGTATTAAATTAAACCAGAAAGAGGAGTTGTCTTCAGTCTTTATACCTTTCATGACCATACTCGTATATGGGGATTATAGTCTCAGCCTTTCGGGTTTGCTGATTTTCGGTGTCAATGTCTTTTGGATGGATTTTCAACCTAAAACCTCATATCTGAACAAAGTGGTCGTAGGGGAGCTATATGATAGAGTACTCCGATTATGTCATTTATCATTTGTGTGCAGAACACCAAATTTACGTTCTTAGATGCTTTTTCGACCAATTTACGGCCCGAGATCTCAGATCGCTCGTATATATGCCATGGTGGTCATTCCTGGGTGGTTTCGACAAATGATCGTTTAAATATATCAAGTTTGGTTGAAATATTTTAAAAGCTGAGAGACTAATGTGTATACAAACAGACGAATAGAAAGCGCAGGGTTAGATCAACTCAACTGGTCATTCTGATCCAATCGGTATAAATTTTCATGGGTCTCTCTTTTCTCCTTATGGTACTTATATACTTCGGTCCGAAGTAAATATTTCATGGAAGCTAAAAATCTATCCGCTTTTTGTTGAAGTAAATGCAGACTCAGGTGCCGCTTTCTTGATTCTATACCGAAAATGTTGATGTTAAAGATGCAATCATGTATTTCATTATGGTCGGCTAGTCACTCAAAAAGCCGAAAAAGCTCTATAACTGTTGAAGTAGGACATGCCGATGTTTGGTTGCCACACGAGCTAACGTAAATAAATTTGTATGATCGTATTGAGATAAATTAATTGCTACTGAAACACGACGAAGTCACACCGTTTCTGAACCGACTCATTATCAATCAAATGAAACACAAACATGGTCAAAGGCCGGTGATCCTCTATGAGCCATTCAAAGCCATAAGTGACGACAAACATTGTGCTGCTAAGTGTATGAGAGTATTGGAAGGGGATTGCCTGTTATGAGCTGCTACAACCTGGCGAAACGGTCCTTTCTGAGCTCCACTGTCAACAACTAACCAGCTTAAAAGCAACTTCACAATTGAGTAATAGAATATGTTGCTGTTGTGCTTCATCATGACAACACCAGACCGCATTAACGGAGCTTGGTTGGAAAGTTTTAATGCACACCCTTTATAGCCCAGATACTGCAGCATATAACTTACCGATAAACCACAGAAGCTTTACAATAATGGAACTATGAAGCTACATGTAAATGTACTAAAAGATATTGAAAAAAAACGGCGAAAAGTTTTTAAATCAAAATTCTCGAGTTCGTTAAAAAATTTCTCAGCGTTCTTTATCAACAAAAGAGATATCGACTCTTTGAGAATTATAAAAGTAAGTGATAGCAGGAAAAAATGTTACTTTCTTAAACCAAAGGGCTTTTCTACTTTCGTTTTACCACTACGTACGTTAAACAAATTCTCATTTATCCAGTCTTTAAAATTGAAAAACGCATCGTAATTCAATGACTAAGCGAAAATATTTAGCATAGTCATAATTTTTATTTAAAAATAAAAACTAAAAAATATCTCTAAAGCACTTTTAAATGTTGATTAATGCGCCTAACGGTTCGTTAAATGGAATATTTTAATTGCTTATTTTATTTTCAAGTTGTAAATTTTGATAGCAAAAGGCAATAAAAGTTTCTGATTGCTTTTCATGTGTGTTTGTACATATGCTTTCCCAGTAAATAAATTTTAAGATATTACCGATTCCACTGGAACCAAGTAATTGATCTCGAAGGGACTAGTTAAAAACCAGTTAGAAACTACAATATTATGGCAAGTGAGCCTAACCAGTCAGCCAACTAAGATTTTGGGATGAACCCTTTTTTAAGGGTCTTATCCACGATTTGGCTTCTGATGTGCATTCAGTCAATGATTGATAAGCCAGTTTTGCAGCCACACTGACAACTTCTGAAGAGTTCTTTGAAGGTGGTCTCTAATCATTCACCCAATAAGTCAGACCTTATATACGATATTATGACACTCATTCCATTACACTCTCAGATTTCGATACTCATCGGCAAGCGCTCATCCGCCCATATTTACTTATGAACTGTTGTCTCTTCAGCACTAGCCGGTAAACCGTTGACTCCCATCGTTTTGTTGATCTTCAGTGCTTGCATTCGGACATCATCAGAGACGAATGGAACTTCATCATTAACGTTTCAATATTCGAGTTTGACATCTTCGAGTGCTTAATTTTCACTACAATTCAGCCAACTTAGGAATGGTCACTTCCACAAACTTTACATTGTTCTACAGCACATTTCTTAAGGCCCTACATGAGTATGCTCCCATCTTTAAAACCTATGGAACTCTCACTTGTCTCTTAAATTTTCGGTACCTCTCCCACACGCGATACTTTGCGGTCTTTACGAGAAGAGGAGCCTTCACTTTTCTGCAGCGATTTCTCCAAGCTTGTTGATATGGATTTTTAGCTGCTTTAGAGCCAGTATGCATCTTGACTGCGACAACACAGTGCACCAAGTTAGGTAGCATATGTGCATCAAGAGCATGCCTTCAATATGGCTTCCGCCTATCAAGGTTAGGTTAGGTTAGGTTTTCATTAAGAGATTTTTAATTTAGAGACAGCCATGTTCCTTAGAGGATTTACTTTACTAGTATCTGGTACTACAGACGACCATTGACTCGATACAGTCGATGAGCATTATAAAATCACTGCATTTTTTCTTCATAAAATTTTCAAACCTCTCTCGGCCGAGCTTGAGAACCTTACGCATTTCAGTCTCTCTCCTCTCAGCCTCTATCTTCTCAGCATCTCTTCCACATAGCTCATTTTAGACGCTTCTTAATGCAACTTGTTTACTAATCCTTGTACCCTGTAGCCTCTTTTCTGTAGGTTTTCCGTTGACTTTCATCATTCTGGAATTGAAGAAACCCATTTATGTTTGACAAACGCTATAGGCATACGGTATGAAGCTTATGAGAGCATGATCCGCTGCTTTGGTTGAAGTGGGAACCTAACCAAACTTCTTTGTTCCGACAAATAGTATTACATATGTCTTTTCCAAAGCCTCTATTCACTATTCACTAGTAAGTTGTTGGAAAAGTAATGTTCGACGTTTTGCCAGGAATGCACGTCATTTGCAATAACTCAGATGTCATTTCATTAAATCTTAGCATGTCTAGATATATCCGTTGTATCATCCGAAATTTTCAGTTGAATCATTCTCAGGTTTTCTCAGTTATGGGTCCATGAAGGTGTAGAGGCTTTATGAGGAATAAAATGAGCACACCAAGCTCTCCTTGCCTCTTCTCTTTGGAACTTGTGTCTTCTTCAAAGCAATTCCTTTTCTCCTACGATTGGGTGGACTTATTGTTTAAAGCCTCTTTGAACGGCTATTGGTTTTTAAAACGTACTCTCGAAGAGGTTGACGTCCCTCACGCACCCACTTATGCCTAGGAATTTCTATCTACTTGGCCATCCTGTACTTTCATTAAGAACTGCGATATGCAACAAGTTTTCTTACTGCATAAATTACGTGGCATTTATTAAATACGTGTTGGGAATTAATTATAAAAGACAGCAATGAAGCAACAAGTTATCACCTGAGAACTGGCTCTGTACTCGTATTAGAACAATTTTCTATTCATATTTTATTATTTGTATTACTTAATCGTTATTCAACTAATGTATATATATTTCTAACTCTCTCCTCTCCTTCTCTCTCGCTTTCTCTTGTCTGCAGCTCGAACAGCTCCAACAACAGCGTCAGCAACAGCAATACTCATAAGAATAATATTGACGTTTCCCAGATCCTCACTTTGGTACTGGATATAGTGACGTTACTCTTCAAATTCTGGGTTGCTGTTGTAGAATCCATTATCAAGTCATTTATACCGCAAGAAGTCGATGTCAAAGGTAAGACCGTATTGATTACTGGCACCGGGCATGGCATTGGCAAGGAGCTGGCTTTGCAATACAGCGCGCTTGGTGCCAAACTCATTTGCTGGGACATCAATGATGAAGCCAATCAGCAGACGGTGAAGGAGATTAAGGCATATGGCGGCGAAGCATACGCCTATACGTGAGTAAAATGTTGCACCTGATCGCGCATCATTTTGATCATTTTTTCCTGTTTCTGGTTTTCCAACATAGTTGTAATGTCATGAAGCGCGACGAGATCATCGCCTTGGCCGAGAAGAACAAGAAGGAACATGGCTTTATTAATGTTGTTGTGAATAATGCCGGTATTATGCCATGTCATCCGATAATGGAACAAACAGAGACTGAGATTAGAAATATGTTTGAAATCAATGTGTTGGCGCACTTCTGGGTGAGTAGAGAATCTGGAGTATGGGTTCATAAGTGGTGCATTAATATATAATTGGCGCTTTGTAACCGCTGAGCGACTTTCGGCGGAGCTCCTCCCGCATTTAGTGGTTTGCGTCTTGAAGTTTTTCCAAAAAATGATGGAACCGAAAACTGTATTATATTTTGTGTTAGAAATAGATTCGGGGGAGTTGATATTCTCTGACTTGGGACGATCACACGAGAGACTAATTTTCTATCATTTTTAATGTTGGTCGGACCAGGACTGGAAAACTGATCCTGATGTTAGTACGAATGCTAAATACTCGCCTACTGCGGTTTCCAGAGAATTATATGTAGGATTCTTTGAAGAATGCATCGAAGAGTTTACTTTTTTAACATTCGTAGGAAGCCGTGTGTGCCGGGAGTCCCGGAATATTGGCTCGACTTTGAGCCTTATTGTGGGTAGTTTCTAGAAGGGTATGCCGCTCTGGCTTGCCTCCACTTCCTATGGATATACTCTAGTCATGATCACTGATCGAGTGACAGTCCTTAATTGACTAACAGTTCAGATAATTCCAGTATAATGATCCCGACAGCCATGCCTTGTTCTGGATAAATTTTCGAACCGCCAATCAGGTTCCTTTCTACTTCTTAATGAAGTTTTCCAGGCTTACAAAGCTCAGTGAAGCGAGTGGTAGTCCTTGGTCGACCGCAGGTAGTTTTTTACTGGTATTCTTCGCCGTGGGTAAATTATAGAACTTCCAACCTAACTTACACACCGATTAGCTGCCATTTTCTATGCATACGAGTATATCTCAGTTACACGAAGCTCAGTGGAGGGGTTAATGACTGATATACCACATGCAAGGCTTTATAGTCCACAAGCGAGGATTACTTCAGAAAAGAGATCGTCAATAAAATATATAAGAATCATCATAGTCTCCCATCATAGTGTCATTTTCGATCAGATATTTTCAGTGTTCCAATCAGATATGCTTCAACAGAAGCCTGTCCAATATTCTGTCATTTGTCAGAGGACCTCAACTCCTGCTGAGCAGCCCTGTTGAGTTCTACTTCAATACTACCAAGGTAGATGGACTAAGCTTCTTGCAGCATTACATCTGGTCCGTACTTCGATCTTTCTCGAAGTCTCACTAGAAAACAGTCTCCGTACAATGTGAATTGCAAATCTCTCTGTACAGAAGAGAATACTGTCATCAGCCCACATCAAAATTAAATAAAATAAAAAAACCTTTAGGCAGTTTTAACCAAGTTTCTCATATAGAGCGCCGTGAATTTGTTTCGATCCCAACGATGGTTCTTCTAGGCCAGTCTGTAGCAGTGAAATGCGCTCATTGTTAAAATTACTTTGAACTGAGTTAGCGGTCCCCCAAAGTATCTCATTGTAAGTCTAGAATTTTCGAGAGAAAAACAAATAGATTGCACATCGCCATATTCTAAGAATCTTGTTTTTTATATCAATCATTCGGTCTGGTAAGAAAATCTGACGCAAGATAAACTAAAGACTTTGCAGCAGCCGACGAATCCGTTAGGATTTTCACAGGTTTTAACAAAAACCAATCGGGTAGATTTAATTTCGATTTCCACAGAAAGTTCTAGATATTGGCTGAGCTTTCTACTCGCAAACCATTACTTTCCTTCACTATAACACCAAAGTACTGTACCACTAACGCAGGTCTGTAGAGCTCTGGGCATATTGTATGTCAAAAACTAGCTGCAGTTAGTAAGACCTAAGGAGAAGAACCCACGTTTCTTCCAAAAAGTCTAACGAGACTGCGCTCTTATATATTCCACAATTATAGAAGATGAAATTATACAGTTTGCTAACATTTGATCTTAAAAAATATATTTCTTTTCAGATCATTCAAGCCTTCCTGCCCGACATGATTGCCCGCAACGAGGGTCACATTGTCGCTTTGTCATCGTGTGCTGGTCTCTTCGGTCTGCCCAACTTGGTGCCATACTGTGGCACGAAATTCGCCGTACGCGGTTTAATGGAGGTGAGTAAATGTGAACTGAGAAAAAAAGTAGCCACTAATTTGAGTTTCCTTATGCTACGCATATTTACAGAGTCTTAGCGAGGAATTGAGACGCGCGAATCCGCAAAGTAATGTAAGTCGTCTTAGTTTATAGGCAGTGAGTACTTGAACCACTTCTAAACCCTCCTTCGTTTTCCATTCCAGATCAAACTGACCACCATCTACCCGTACATGGTCGACACAGGCCTCTGCAAGCGTCCACGTTACCGTTTCCAGTTGCCACTATTCAAATTGGTCAAGCCCACCGATGCTGCAGCTAGCATTATTAGAGCACAACGCACTGGTCAAGAGCATGTCAGCATACCACGTGATTATATAGTAATCGAGAAAATCGGTCGTCTGTTGCCACGTAATGCGATGCGTGTGCTGAATGACTTCATCGACACCGGTGTGGATTCTGATAAATGAGATGAAACGGCTGAAAATGTGAATAGAATTGCCGCATTTGAATACGTTTTTTTTAATTTTTTATTTTTGAATGAATATACCAAAAAATATATGTATGCATAGATTTTTAAGCAACCTGTGTGCATATGTTCATTATGTACATATGTACAAAATAATTAAAATAATTAAAAACAATGATTTTTTTTCGTAAAAGGTTACACAAATGTGTTTTTATTGTTAAATAATTACTTTTCTTTTATACATATATATCGTATGTACATATAATGTTACAGGGTGAGTGATGAATGTATGTTGTAAAACATTTTTTAGCTTCGGCTAGTTTTGAACATGTAGATACACATACATACACATATATAAATTTCTTTTTGGGTAGGAGGGGCACATGTACATACATATGTATATTGTTTATTTATTGTTTTAAGTAAATGTGTGTATACTTCTTTGTGGCCAACTATTTCATAAATATATTTTTGTGTATGTATTTTGTGATATTTTATGACTGTTTGCTATTTTTGGTATTTCATTTACGGCAACTTTTTCTTTCGATATTTTTTTTTTATTTGTCTTTAATAATAGTTTTAGACTATTACTTAATATTCGAGTAGGTGGCTACATTCAGAAACTGACATACATTCATTATAAATATATATCTCAAAAACCTTCACAATATACATAAGTATTTGTAGTTGTAGTGTTTGTGTTTGATTGTGTGTAAGACATTTCTGGAAATCACATATACATACAATTTTTAATAACAAAATCACTTATTTATGCTATTTTATATATAATATTTATATTTGTATAATTAATGTTCATTTGCTATAATTTATTTTATAATTTGCTACATACATATATGCAATTATTTATTTGCCTTGTAATTGTACTAAATTAATATTAATTAATGCAAATTTGTTTTATATGCAGATAATTATATGAAACTTTCATTTACATACATAACATTGGAATGCTCAGTTTTAATTTATTACTTTTTATGGTTTTTTTTCTGTAGAATAATCAAAAACTCGAAACTAATACTGTTTTTTAAACATTCAAAAGATATCTTTTTATAATAACAAAATTTCCGTAAAAAATTGTTAACCATATTTTAAGCATATATTAAAGTGCCACTAATACAATGATAAACAGCTTATAAATAATATCTTCATACAGTGAATTGTCATATTTCATAGAAATTGTAGTACAAATATAAAATTAAAATTATTTTCATTTGACAATTTTAAAACTTAACGCACATATATGCATAAAATATATTTAAAGAGATTTCATAAAAAGTTATGAATATAAATGTGTGTAATTGTATGTATATATATTGAGAAAACAAATAAGAAAAGCGTTTTGTTATAATCACATTTTCTTAAAATTAACACCTAAATATTTAAAGCCATATGTAGTTGTTTAGTACATATATACATATACAATTTAACTGTTCCTAGGAGTTAGTTGTATATTTTGTTCGTAGAATTTTCCTTTTATTTACTACTTCGGTGCGATATTTTTATTATATATATATATATGCTTTATATATTTGTTTAAAACTATTTACCGTTACTGGCAAAGTGATGTTGTTGAAATTGCAGTGGCTGTGGCTTTTCATATGGCTGATGGTAGGTTGTAATTGTATGCTGCTGCTGGTGTTGGTATTGCTGTTGATTATTATTATTGCTGCCACCGCCACTACCACCATTTGATGTGCCCGCAACAACAGTTGCCGCCGCAGCAGCTGTTGTCGTTGATGTAATTAATGTTGTTGCAGCATGACTATAACTGTTTGTGCTCGTTGTGGTTGTGTTTGTAATGTGATGTGTAGTAGTAGTTTTAGTGCCAGGAAGTTTTAACTGGCGTATTTCGGGAAAAAATTCTATCATAAGAATTTCTAGCAGCTCCTGTAGGCGGGAAGAGAAATATACTTATTTGTTTAAAAGGAAACGAATATATATTTGTAGGCTCTACTGCACTCACATAAAACAGCTGTTTATTGTAAGTGGGATTTTGCATGGCTTCAAAAACTTTTATTACACCATGTTTGGCCGTTTGTGCGCCCACAAGATTACATAGCACCTCTGGTATATGATCCATAAGCAAATCTTTTGCGGCATTGCGTGTCATCTCTTTTATATCGTCAGAGCGTACCGGATATGAGGAGGCCAGCACGCCGCCGGGCCAAAATGATTTCAAAATGGCAGAGAAGTAATAGTGCAGCATTGATTCTTCAAATAAATAGGCCACCGATTCGCGAATTTGTCTGTAGGAACAGCATTATTATAAGTTCCTTGTGAATTAACTTTTTGCGCACATTAAATAACCTTCATTGTTTTATTTTTTTTATTTAATTTTATTGGTTATTTTGTTTGCAATTTATTTAATTTTTTTTCTCATTTTATTTTACCGTTCTAAGTTAGTTTTTTTGTTTTAATTTATATATATTTTTTTATATTTTCTTTTATTGTCATTATTTTATTATTCATTTACTTTTTTATCTCAATTTAGTATATATATTAATTTAATTCGATTGATTTTATTTTACTTGGTTTATTTGTTTTTTTTTTTTATTTATTATTTTCCTAATATTTTCTTCTTTTTAATTATTTTTATATTTTATTTTGTTCTTATTTTTTTGTTGTTGTTTTGTTCTTATTTTTTATTTCTCTCTCATTGTTTATTTTTTTGTTAATTTTTTTATTTTTAATTACTTTTTAATTTTTTTTCTAAATTTTTATTTTTTCTATTTTTCTTAATTTTTATTTTTTCTTTTTTTTCTTTTTTTTCTTATTTTTTATTTCTTTTCCATTTTTTCTAATTTTTTCTAATTTTCTATTTTTTCGAATTATTTATTTCATTTTTTTCATATTTTTTTTTTAATTTTGTTATTTATTTTTTCTTATTTTTTATTATTTATTTTATTTTATTTTTCAATTTTATTTTAATATCTCTTACTTTTTTTTAAAGAAGATTTTAATTAATTTAATTTTATTTAACTTGATCTTATTTTATTTTCATTTATTTATTTTACTGCTTTTTATTTATAAAATTAAATTATTTTATTGAAATAAATTTATTTCATTTAGTATTTAATTTTATTCAATATTTCACTTGTTTTATTTTTAATTAAATATAATTATTTCATTTTGTTTTTATTTATTTTTTTGCCATTTGAATTTTTTTCTGTTATTTTTTTTTAATTTCTATTTTTTATAATTTTTTCTTATTTTTTACTTTTATTTTAATTACATTTAAGCTTTCGTTTAATTTGTATTTTTTAATTTAATTTTATATAATTTCATTTTATTTAATTTTCTCGTATTTTTTTCATTTACTTATTTTATTTTCTATTTATTTATAAAATGAAATCAATTTATCCATCAAATACCTGTTTATTGTTCTGCCATAAGTGATCTGCACAAATGATATCAAACTCTTTCGCAGCCACTTAAATACGCCGCCCATATCGAATATTTCGCCCAACAGTGCATACAGCGGCTCCGCGATCGAGTCTTTGCTATCCAAATCGGCTAAAAGCTTTGTGTCCACAGCCGGATCACCTTCCAAATAAGTCGAAATATCCTCATCGTCACGATGCAGACCCCAGAAAGGATCATTCGCTTTATTTAGTTCGCCCGCTTTGGCGGCATCACTTTTAAATAAAGTAGACAATGAGAATTTCGATTTCTTCGGTGAAGGCAGTGTCTGCTTCAGATGATCCGAGCTGGGACTGAGAAAGCTATAAATTGCTTCGCTGCCATTCAAATGATCATCCTCCAATATGAACTGCGTCAAATAAATCGTCATTAAATTTAACTGATTTTCGATTTTAAATAAACGAGTAAAAGTGCACTTACATTTAGAAACTTTTGTATTTGGCCTTTAGCTTTTTCTAACGCATTGCGATCGTTTTTCAAAAAGAAAAATTTAAAGTTCGTTGGCAGGTCGAGGGATTTAATGTTGGAATTTACATGTCGCAGTTTACGTTGCAAATCCTGCGTAGAAATGGAATGTGAATTAAATGTTTTGTTGTTGCTTTTTTCAACTTACATGCACTTGGTTAAGCGAACGCATCACCACCCAACCGCTTGAAATAGCGCCGGGACGTGGTTGCAAGCCACTCGCTCTCTCTGTTTTGCCACTATTTTCAGCTGAACGAGGCATATTTATGTCCTCATCCACATGTACGAGTATCATGAATTGTAGCGACTCTTTTTCATCGGAAATCTTTAAAGAGAAAATATATTTTTATTCGCCGAGATAGCAAAAAAAAAAAAAAAATTCCTCACACACCTCCACACTTTGTAAAGTCGCCTTCCATTTGCCCAAATGCTCCGTCCAAGCGTCCGTACGTTTCAAATGTGCCTCTGTCTGTCTTTTCTCATTTTTTAACCACTCCATCTCCTTCTCCAATATTTGCAATACTTTCGATTCGGGTTTTACCGAACATTTTAGCGCGTCCAAAGCTTGACTCTTCTTATCTATGCGCTCTTGTAGCTGTTCGAGCTTACGACGCGCATATGACGTATGCGCTGCCACATCCAACGTTGTGCTAGCACCATCCGCACCCTCCAAGGCAGTGTTTGACTCTTCCGCTGTAGCATCGCTACCGTTGATTGTACGCAGTAGTAAGGTGGGATCTTTAAAGTCATCCGAATTGAGTGCCTCACGCAATTGGCGATACTGTTCACTCAGTACAAAAGAGGCATAATACTTTTCCTCTAGTGTCTTTAAGATATTCTTTTGTATGTCATATAATATATCGGGACCGGTGTCACCAAGTAGAAATGTCTCAATAAGTTTACGCTCATGTTTATCAATTTGTATTTCTGGTTTTGGCACACGGATGTATGTGTAGAAAATTTCAGTACCTAATTGATGCCAAGCGGATTTATGCGAATGCTTCAGCTCCTCAACAGCTAAGTAAAAGCCCACAAGAGCACTAGCTTTTAAAGGCTCCAAAAAGATGGTGAGGTACCGGCGACCAACGGCGGTGCTAACCACTTCAATGAGCGTTAAGTCCTAATGAAATAATCAATATTATTCTGTGAATAAAATTCGCAAAAATTTATAATTAGTTTACCACGTCACTCGTGTAATTGCCGTTCCAGCCGTATTTTGATAAATTTTTTTCGCATTGAGCTTTGGCAAATGTGAGTTGTTGAACATAACGCTTCAAACGCACAGCAGCATTCATTTCTGATTTCGATAAACTATGATCGTCTACATCGGGATCAAGACCTTGGAGGAATAAAAGCAATATCTTTTAATAAAAATATTTATTATGAAAAATGGTAGCAAATAAAATTAAGTAGTAGATAAAATTCAATTTCGAGGAAAAATATAATAAAAATATTATTGTTAAAAAGAAGTAAAAAATTAATACTAAAATAGCAGACAAAAATACTTGTGGAAATAAGTACTAAAATAACACTAAAAATAATAGTAAAAACTAGTTTCAAAAATTGGTAATAAAAGCAATACCCAATTTAGTACTAAAAATAATTGCATCATTTTTTTCAAGTAGTGCTTCAAATATTAGTAAAAACTAATGGTAAAGTTATAGTAAAAATAGATTCCAATTAGTACTAAAATATCACCAAAAATAGAAGCATAAAATTAGTGCTAAAACAGTACTAAAAATAATACCAAAACCATACCAAAAATAATAGAAGGATATTAGTAGTACTATAATAGTAATAAAGTTAATACAAATTTGTACTAATAACAATTAAATTAAATTAACTTAAAATATTGCTAAAAATAATAGCAAAAGTTATCACAAAAACTATTGGTAAAAATTAGTACTAAAAGGTTCTATAAACCTTAGAAAAAATTAGTACCAAAATAAAAGTAAAAACTAGTAATAAATAGTACTAAAAATATGTAGTTGTAAAAATTAGAACTAAAAATAGTTGTAAAAATTGGTAGTAAAAGTATGCAAAATATGCTAATAAAACAATAATAGACTCTTATTAAGCCTAAAAATAAATGAAAATAATAATATTAATAACAATAGCTAAAAATAGTATTGAAATATTGCTAAAAATAATAGTGAAAATTAGTATTGCATTAGTACAAGCAATAGTTGTAAAAATTAGAACTAAAAGGCAAATATCAGTACTAAAAATAATTGTAAATTAAAAAAAAAATGGTGCTAAAGATATAGTTATAGAAGTTAGTACTAAAACGGTACTAAATTTAATATTACAAATGAGAACTAATATAGTAAAAAAATAGTATTTTCTAGTGGCATCTGAGATTGGCAGCCTTTATCAAGCTTTCCAAATTTAGTACTAAAGTAGTACTAAAAATAGTAGAAGTAATTATGATAAGAACTGGGATTATGTTAAATTATAAGCAAATAGAATTTTTTAATAAATTTAAATTAGTTTAAACAAATAATCAGCATCCGTACACACCTTTAGCACGTTGTAGATTCTGTATTGTTGTTGCATGCATTAAATCATTGACAATACTTTTACGTATCAACGAAAGCTCCTCCAAATTGCCAGCATTATTAATGACTTTCAAAAAGTCTTCAAAACTCGCTGCATATTCATAACTGCGTTTACTAATCGCAGCCGCCGCCAGGCGCGTCTCTATGTTTTGTACAATTTTCTGATTAATATAGTCTGGTGAGGTGAGCATTTTAATCAATGGAAAAAATACTAAAGAGAATTTGAGTTATCAAAAATGTTAAAAGAAAGTTTCATAAAGGGTAAATTACTTTTATAAGAAAGTATCTCGCTGAGCAGCACTTTGAGCGGTGGTAGTGAGTAGCCGCGCGGCAGTAAAAGAATAATCATAATTTCACTAAGCCTGCGTAAAAATTTCAATTCCGTGTCCTCATCCACTAGGTAGGAATTCGTGGAGAATACAAGTGGATTGCCGGTTTCAGCGCTGAAATGAGAATGTTCAGTTTTTTGTAAAATAATTTGTTTATGATTAAGATTAAAATTAAATGGAAGTTAGTACTGAACTAATAATTGATGAGAGTAAATCATTGGGTATAGAATATGATATTAATATGAAATAAAAATTTAGTTTTTATTTATGAAAAAAGAAAAAATTATTTAAATATAATATTGTGACTTAAAATGCAAAAAAAAAAAAATGTTTAGAACTGATTATACGAAGCCGTCACCACATATGCATCGTGGCATCATATGATCATCAGATGATTTTGGGATCATATGATAATCATAAATGAACATCATGCTGATTTTCAAGACTACTAATATATTTCGTATGCAAATAATAATATATAATAGTTATAAAGATGCACAATTATTAGACGCTATTAGCATAATAACTAGAAATGTAACAACATCGCTTGATATATTATAGAGATGCGACATCACATGAGTAGCCGTATTATTATTTGATCAAATTTCTTTTACTTGAAACTTACGCTCTTGCTTCCGCTATTCTAATCTTTTCTAAATGCACCGTTACACGATTAACCATATCGACAGCTATTATTTTAGCCGCATCAATTTTGACGCCACGGTTATGTATCTTCTGTATGGCGTTCCAAAAATCTTCACGAACAATATCATTCATCAATTTCGGTTGGGTAACCACATGACTGAAAAGAGTTAATATTTAATATCATACACTTAAGTACATTTTCAAAAATTTCCTGCTTTTCATAGCATACAAGGAAATTTGCTTAAAGACTGACTCATTTGTTTCTCTTTTTTTTTCAAGGAATGAGACATACATACATGCTCTTATCTTGAATCACTTTGACATTTACAAATATTTGTCGTACACCTACCCCAGCCAATGGGTCATGAAGTCACGTAGCACATATTCAATAATCTGCTGCAGCTGCAAATCAACCGTTTTACCAAAGATTAACGGTAAATTGGATGCATTCTTAATAGGATTGGGTAAGTCGAAAATGCTGCTTCTATAATTAAGGTATCAAATTATATTTTATACTACAATCATACCTTAATTTAAGAGAAAAACTCACTTTGTTGCATTATATAGAATATTTGGGGGTTCACGCTTTGGCGGCGGCGCCTCTGTGTTGGTAATGATGTAATGGACATATACTGTGGCCGCTACAGCTGGAAAAATAATCGAAAAATATAAATTAAATAAACAACTTAAAAGATTAAAAAATATGGTAATAATAATAGCATGCGACAGCGATCCATCTCACTTATTATTGCAAATTGCATTAAGAAAGTGATCAACAAACACATGCACAATTAGAAAATAATATTGTTTGTGGGATGTCTACTGACTGATAAGCGTGTAATTTGATAGACTAAATAAAAATCACAGAAAAGCAACTGTAACTGGAGCGCTGATATTAAATAATTTACACAGTTACATACATACACATTTTCTCCACAACACTCACCTGCCAATACGAGGAATAGTGAATAGGTGGCGAATATGAAGAAAAAGAAAAATGCCGGGTAATACCATATGATGGCCAAGAGCGTCAGTACAGCTGCGGAAGTGATTACCTTCCAATTGAGTTGTAGCATACGCAGTGCACGCGTAGCCAAGAGGCATGTACTGTGCGTTGTCAATTTGCCGGTGCTTACTATGTGCCATGTCGATGGAGACGTTAGTGATGACGACGTCGACGCGGCCGCCGACGTTGGCAGCGGATCAATGGGAAACAGCGGTCGATCAAGGGTCATCTTTGGGCGGCGTAATGCCCGCGCAGTTAGCTGACGTGGGTCTGTAGTTACGTAGAGATTTTTTCACTCACTTGCGCTGAATTTTTTATGTTACTATAAAATTCTTTACTTTTAATATTTCATAGCGTTGATTGCACGCATTGGAGTTACGGCCTTGTTTTTTTTTAAACTTATTATTTTCGTTTGTGAACTACAGCAGGTGCTGTGTCACACATTCGCCTACATGGCAGCACATATGGCAGCAACTATTCAACCATTAAAAAGAGAAATTAAATATTAGTTAAGTCTGATATTTTTCAAAATATTTTTAAAATAGCTTCCAAAATAATATAAGTGGGAGTTAAAACAAAAAATATAATGCCACCCAAAGAGAATTGCAATATATGTTCAAAGCATTAATATTTACATATGTATGTACATACACAGCATACACAGCTTACAAATATTTCACTTTTATATTTGGTTTCATTTTTTATATATATTTTTTGTAACTTTAATTAAAAAGTTCTGCAAATTTAATTTGACCGAATGTGGGCAACAAGTTGAAGAAATGAGCACTACAAGCTGACAGTGATTTGTGGGCGTCGACGCGGAGATTAACTTGCGCCAGCCTCATAGGCCCTCGATTCAGTTACAATCATACATGTACATATGCTTACATATCTTAGTATGTATGTGCGCATATTTATGTATTTATCGCAATTTACTTCCTCGAAAATTATCTTGGAATTTAATACTATGTATGGCGTATGGAACCACTTATGCATATGTTTACTTGATAAGCCAGAGGCAGTTTTCCTTTTTTGAATATACCGTACGCAATTCACTTCCTTTTTCAATAATTATTTAACTTATTTATCTACGCACCAATAATTGTATTTTTTTTTTTTGCGTTGTTCTTACTTAGATAACAAACCAAGCCTAAATGAATCACTTATCAGCCAACCAACCTTCAGGTTTTACGTGCTGGTCACAATTTGGATGAGTTTTTTTTTATAAGAACACTTCTCTTTTGGTGAGAACTCGCCCGATGGCTACTTAACTGACTTCTGTTACGGATTTTAATTACCCAACTACTTCAATTTCTGATTGACTCCATCCAATTGACGATGGGCTGAAAAATTTTACAAATAAATGATTTAAGAAAGACTGCTAAAGGAAAAGTTAAAAAATGCGAAATATGACTGAAACAGAAACGTCAGATAGGCGAATGATGTGGGTGGCATAGCTGCCGTGTTTTCACATGTGTTCCCTTTTTGTGCTGCATTCGCAATTTTTGGCGCAAATTTCAGGCACATATCATTTTTCGCTGCAGATGGCGCTAATAATATTTGGTGTTTCGGAAACAGAGAATGTAAATACTTGTGTTTACATTCTCTGTTGGAAATGTTTGTAAACAATGGAGAAGGCGCACAAAATTGACCCTTGCAGCTGATGGCAACAGTGAGCACAAACAACAATCTGTCGCCAGTGGTTTACAAGCTATTTCGTACTAGTTAGCTAAAGATTATTGTAATTTAATACTTACCTCCATATACCTTTCATTTCATTAAATAAAATTTTAATAATTATAATTTTTTTCTGTGTGATTCGGTAACCTCTGCTCCTAAAACTTTCTCTTCTGTTGTCGAGATCATCAATTTCGAAAATTATTTCTCTCCCACCGAAAATCCCTTAAGCGGCTATGAAGCCTCAACTGAATACTAACATAAAAATACACTTGTGAACAAAGTTTATTTATTTAGTATTGAAATTTGGACAACATATATATTATCAAGCTATGGTATTTTATTTAACAAAAGTTCGGTGCTGTTTACTTTATTTAAAACTTTGGTATGACCTTCAACCGAAATATAGAAAAAAATTAAGATAAATATTCCAATTCGAGGGGTGACCTATTGCGTCTATTTATACCACATTCATATATTTCCTACCGACTTCATGGTAGACGTGATCAACAAGATAATTGTTTACGAATGGTGGTAGGCACAACAGAAACAAAATTTCGCACACTCGTCATCCACCCTTCTATACAGCTGATTTTCTTCCTTTGTTATATTTGGACTTTATTTCGTTGAAGACAGCTGACTTTAGTTTAGATTTTCATTTGTGTTCATTTGTTTAAATTAATTTTTCTATTTAGTTAACTTTTTTTCGTTTTAAATTATGTTTCATCTCACTAGTTTACCTTAACTTAACAATATGTCGAGTTTTGGTAAGGAAAAACGGAATTTTATGACCGAGGATAATGAAGACTTGGACCGCATAGAAGTGATTACAACGTCGACTGCGTCATCGCGTACCGAACTATTTACGCAACAAGACGTTAGCCAAAATTTGCTTGCCATTGGTAATGAGCAATCATACAGGATTTACGTAACTGCAGCAAGTGATGACAATAAAAGTAAGAAAAGCGACTGTGGCGGCAGTCGTGATGGTACAGACGAGCAATGTGTTGATGAGTCCATAGAATTGATTACAAATTTAGGAGCGCTTTCGGATAAGCGTACTACTTCACCTCTGTCAGCGATGGCGTGTAGTTTTAATCGCGGAGCGACGCCTACGAATATGGTAAATTTCAGGAGTGTGCATGTGATATCGAAATTCACTTTATGTAGTTTAACCTTCTTTGAAATTTTAGGTACGCCGATGGTCCCAGACCTTAGCTCGTTTCGATCGAGATAAGAATAGTATACGTGAAAAGACTATTTATCGTATGCCATCACGTAAATATTTTGAGGTAGATGGGAATCTGCATGCCACTAATGGTTTAGAGGCTGAAAATGAGGTTGAACTGTTGGCGCAGGAAATTGAGCAACATGATGGACTCATGCAAGACACAGCACTGAGTCATCAACATAGACTGTATGTGGGACTTTGAAAATTATATTACCCTTTACAGATTTCTTAACTTAGGTAAAATTTTCTAGTGAAACACTACGTGCATTGCCACAACCGCTGAGCACAAAGCGTTCGCTCAAGCGCAAATTGGCCATCAGCATTGAGCAACACGCAAGCGAGCAACATAAATGTAGCTGGTGTCACAACATGACAAATGCTTTCATAAGTTTCCTGCTAAGGACTTGGAGAGTTATTGGGGTCATAAGTCATAGAGTAGAAATTTGGTATGATGATCTTAAGACAATCGAAGGACAGTTCGGCTGTAATGTGAGCTCATATTTTAAATTCCTACGTTGGTTGTTAATGCTCAACATCGTAATGTTGCTTTGTGTCCTTATGTTTATCATATTTCCGCAATTACTATACAATACAATTGCAACTGAAGTAAATCTTAATCAAACATCATTAGTTGTAGGATACTCTGCCAATAGGAGAGACAGCGCCAGTACACTCTTCTTAAATTTACTAACTGGAGAGGTGATTTACTTGAAAACTGAACAACAATGTATATTGTATTTGAAATTGAATTTAAATATCCGTTAATTTGCAGGGATATCTACAAAACTCTCTACTATTCTATAGTGGCTATAGCGATGCAACCTTTCGTCTACATCCTTCTCTCAGTCAATATAGCCTACCACATGCTTATTTTATGACAATGCTGGTGCTTTATTTGTTTATCTTTATAATAATTTCTACAAAGTATGTACAAAAAAAAAAAGATATTTATTAATAGAACCCAGGAATAATCATCTCTCCATTTAGAATGGCACGTGTATATCGCTTAAGCTTTATACAAGCTGCTGGCAATGGTCGTGGCATACTAGCAGCCAAAACAATTTGCGCTTGGGATTATGGCATATCCAATCGAAAGGCAGCTGATTTAAAGCATATTGCAATATTTTCCGAACTCAAAGCGATACTGAATGAGAAGACTGTGCCTAAAAGGACACTAACAATTTGGTGGCGTATTTGGATATTCTTTTCACGTGCTATTGCCCATATGCTGGTTGCGGCAATTATTGGTGGCGCGGGTGTTGGTGTGTGGATATTGTTGAAGGTGTGTTTAAAGCGAAAATAGTAACCCGAAAGTATTATAAAAATCTTATCTACAGGAACTTGATTCAAATGATGATGTGTCTGGTGTGAGAACCCTTTCAACTGCTGGCATACTTAATCTCACAATGTTATTAATGCAATCCGTTTTGTCATGGATTTCGAGGTATATTGATTTCGTAGCTAAATTTTATGGCTTCCTTGTAACTGTTTATGAGTATTTAATTTTTTTTTAGGATGGAAGATTACCGCTCGCCTCGTCGGACATTGCATATAGCGTTGTTGCGTAATTTCTTCCTAGAAGCAGTTATAGTTAGCGTACTGGTATATTTTTTGCTAACAAAGCCATATAGCCAGGTAAGTATACGCTTATAATAACTTTTAAGCAAATTCGTTAATAACTTTTCGCTATACGCAGTGCTGGGAGACACACATTGGTCAGGAATTGTATCGATTTATTGTTATGGATACTTTCATCTGCTTACTTATCATACCTTTTTTTTGTGTCACACGCGCGCTACTTGCAAGGTAACTTTTATTTTATTATTTTAATATGTATATTACATCATTACTGAGCTTTTTTCATTGCATTTTAGTCTTTATTGGCCTTGGCTGGGCGGTCCAGATTTCGACATATCACAAAAAAGCTTGGGTCTCGTCTACAATCAAACCCTACTGTGGTTGGGTCTACTTTTCGCACCACTACTTGTCGCTATCATTGTTTGTAAAATGTTCCTAAAATTCTATATTAATAATTTGCTTCTAATGTATCTCTGTAAACCTTCCTGTCACATCTGGCGTTCGGCGCAGACGCACACGCTTTATCTAGTCTTCACTTTTGTTTCGCTGCTGGGTGTAATCTTGACGCTGGGCTTTATAATGACGCAGTAAGTGAAATAGAATATTGGAACAAAATTGATATTGTAATATTCATATATCATATTTTTTTAAATTACAACATATATTTAGACTGCCAATGAGTTCACAGTGTGGTCCATTTCGTGATTCTGGCTATATGTTTCAAATATTCATAGACGGTGTGCTGCAGTTGCGTGAAAATCAGACACTTTGGCGCCTGCTCACTCTACTAGTGCGACCAGCAGCTGTCGGCTTAATGTTGGTCATTATGTCCACACTCGTCTATTATCTACGTGCCAAATCTCGTGCACGTCGTCTTATGGTCAAGTTGCTTAAAGAAATGATTTATCTAGAGGCAAAAGATAAAGAGTTTTTATTAAATCGTATAATGAATATAACAAAAAATCGTGATTCTTCGCTTGTCGATGCGCGTTCGATTGGACGAAGGCGTCTGCATACTACACTACAAAGGCCACCAGTTGAAGTTTCGATAGAGAATGAAATTAGTGGTACTAACAGCTCTCAACCAACAGCGCGTAGTGATGGTTTCATCTTACGCAGCCGGAATACTTAACCGGTATGATATTATTGTGCTTTTTAAACTTAAGTCCTATTCTTCATACATATACATACATATATATTTGTAGCCAGTTATTATTTATTTCTCTCGAACAAATTTTGAAACGTCTGATTTTAATTAAATAAATTTATTAATATTAGTTTTAGTTTTAACTTATATTTTAGTAAATAGTTATATAATATGTATACATACGTATCCACATTTATTTATTCGTTAATTGACATATAACAAAAGACATAAGAAAGTTGTGTAGTTTTGGAAATTGTGTTCTGCACTTACGGATTATGTATACTAAAATCACAGACTGTGAGTCCGAGTTAATACAAAAGTATTAGTTGAAATATACTTAATTATATTATACATATTTACATATATATTTTATAAATAAAATTATAATCTTTGAAACATCTTTAAAATATAGATTAAAATATCCGTTTTTTAAGGACTCATTACGAGACTTAGGATATTTTTTTACACTGAAAAGTAAAGCAAAGTCACTTGGACTAATTGCATTTTACAGAAAAGGGGCTGGTTAGGTTGGATTATAGGTGGCCGACCAAGTACTAAATCCCATTTGGACATTTTTAAAATTTTCTTTTGATACCACGTTTACTAGTTCCTGAGCACAGCTCGACCAAAGTCTTAACGTAAAACACAAATTCGCAAAATGCTACCCTCTCACCTGGGTTATATAAGATGTTGGTTTCAATATGCGAAACCCTTTGTTTCGGGGAACAGTACCGTCAAGGATGAGTAGCCGAGATAATTTCACCATGAGGTCTTTCAAACAGCACCACCACAAAATACGTCAGTTATTAGTACCGCAGTCCTTACCAAAAACGATAGAGTAATGCTTTTGCCGGGAAAGTCGACTCTAAGAGTAACCATTCTCGTTAGCTTCGTAGCTTTGCTGTTGCCCTCAACTAAACCTAAATCGAGATCCCTTATGGATCCATTCATGTAAGGGTGTGTATAAACATATATGCCCATCGCAAACATTTGTTGGCACAGAATACCGAGACGTGGTGATTGATAGATTCAGTTATGAAACTGATGCTGTGTAGAATCATCACATGTCCAGGCAAAACATCGAGCATCTCTTAGTCAGCGATGTTAACGAACAATCAAAGCGACCGGGTTTAAAAGCTAATTTAGAGAATACTATAGTTTTGTTGCTGTAGCCGCAAAAAATATTCATCTTACTAGTTTTTGGGGAATTTTGCAAGTGACAGTCTTTGGCCGTTTAAAAATCCGGTTCCTTCTGGGATAAAGACCCAACCGCCACGGGAACTTTTGCATATCGGTTGAAAAATCATTCCGTATTTATATGGAGCTATATAATTCATATCAGAGGCAGGCTACCTATCTAGAGCAACTGCAATTTTAATTTTGATCCGGCAGGTTTCGAGCACAGGACACTCCACATATAGCTCTGTTGGGATGAAGAAAGAAAATAAATTTAACCCAAAAAATGTGTTTGAGTACATTTTCGAAATGCATACTACTCTGAAAAGCTAATTACAAAAAAAAATTGTTTATTTAACAAAGCAGAGAATTTTTCAATTATTGAAATTTTGAAACAAGCACAAAAATTCTGATTGGCAGCACACGCCCAGTGTTGTATTTGCCAGCACTTTAGTTCAGGGCTGGCAAATTGGTAAGCTTAATTTTGTTTTTGTTTCTATTGTGCCCACTTTCATCTTCGCCTTTGGGTGCATTCTCAAAAACGCTTTGAAATCGTTCACACACACGTAAAAGAGAAGCGGAAAGTTTTTGTTTACGTAGTGCTTTTTAAAGCAGCAGTAAAAATTAAATTTATACACAATTTTAGTGATTTTATATGCACAAAAGTTCGATTTATAAAATTTCTTTATTGAATTATTTCTTATAAAATCATAAATAGTGCTTTTTTGTTTTGAAAAATTGGCCAAAGGCCAAAAGTGAAACCAAAAAAAAAAAAAAAACCAAAAGAAAAAATACGCATAAAATTCCAGCATAAAACTGCAAGTGAAAAAAGCTTAAAAAAAGATATTTGCCAAAAAAAAGGAAAAATCGCAAAATTTTTAATTGATTTTCTCAAAAATTGGCTTGAAATTGTTCATATATAATATAGAGAAAAACAAGCTGTTCATTTCAAAAAGAAGCATTTTGCGAAATATACGCACAAACATATATACATACATACGTAGAGTGATTGAAAAGTGAAAACTGGATTCTAGAGCAACTGTAGCAAAAATGCAAAATTATGCGGACGCATTGAGTGCCAAGGGGTATCGCAGTTTTGGCTTCGACACCGACATGGAAATGGAATTTGATTTGAATAATGCTCACGACTTGAAAACCAAATCGGGTAAGTGAAAAGTATATTTTTCTGTGCTTACGATTCTTCACAAAGCAAAAAAAATTTACTTAGATAGGTATAAGCTCTTACAATAAGGCGCTGGAATCTTCAAAGTTCTATTGATATGTATACATATGCATATGCCTACGCACATACCAACAATTGTACGCATACGGTTAAAAAAACCGGCATTTCACAACAAAATTTCTGTGAGTAAATGATGATGGGGTGGAAATTCACTTATGTACATATGTACATATAAATGTGTATATTTGTATAGCTTGAATCGAAAGTTGGTTGAGATGGCAGTTAAGACAGTCTGTTTGTAATAGCCTTTATGTGTATGTATGTATGAAAGTCGTTGATATTTTGGCATGACGCAGTTTTTCCAACAATGCCGATGTTTGTACTGGTTGCCGTTGACACTTTTCCTCCCCATTGTTGGGTACGTGTGTGTGTGTGTACATTTGTACGTGTGCTGCCAATGTGGTTGAGGTCATTGTGTTTACTTTTGAGGAGCGGCAGAAAACTCTTATTTTATCATAAAAAAAAATGTTGAGAACACAAGAAAATCATTTCGATAATTGCTAACAAATTGTGCTTAGAATCGAAAAAATATGTACCTACATACATACATACATATACAACAAAATGTCATGACAATTAATACATACAAAGGGAGAAAAATAAAAATACAAATTTTATTAATTAAGTTTAGAAGAACTAATAAACTGATAAATGAAATAAAATTTAAATTTGTTTCAACTAAATATTGTGAATTTATTCATATACCGTTAAAGTGCTTAGAGATGAATATTATGATTGCATTGATTGAATTCAAATACTCAATAAAAAGTTTGGTTAGGTTTTGTTCTGTAATTCTTTATTAAAAAAAAATAAAAAAAAAAAATAAAAATATTGCTTGGCAAAGTAATGAGCCTCTCAAAACGCAATTTTTTTGCCAATCCATTTAAAATTTTTTGACAGACTTTTAAATTGCCAAAAAATGAATGAAATAGTAATTTTGGCAAAGAATCTTCTTTGTATTTTTAAAGTTGGCAATGCAAAAGAAAGCTAAATTGTGTAGTCTGCATGAGTTATGAATATGACAATAAAAGAAAAAAAAAACATCTTCGTTAGATTTTCTTAGAAAATTGCGAACTATAGGAAGTAATGCCAACAAAAGTTTGGAAACTTGCACACAAGCGTAAAAAATCAAATGTTAATTATTTATTTATGTATATTTCAACTATAATTATAATGTATTATTATATAAAATTTTATTTTTTATAAAATTTTTGTACATGCATACATTTGCCTTAAAGTTATACAAATTTTTAAATGAAAATTTTTCTGCTATTATGACGTCATTTCCGGTCACTCCTCGGAGAAAGTTTTAAAACCAAATTGAGTTTTTTTTTTGCAGATTTAAAACAAAAGAACGCAATTTTTTTGGAAAATTTCTTCAACAAGAAATTTTTTTTTATTGTTACAACTGAATCCTCGTCAATCATATTTCGAAGATCTGTGTAAAAATCTCATCAAGATCGAAAACTTTTGACAACCAACTTAAAAATCACTGTTTTGAGAAAAACGCCTTGAAAGTTGAAAGGCCGACACTGAAACTTAAAATCGTTTCGACTTTTAAAATTTAGAATAATATTCTGGAGATGTTGTAGAAATTAATAAGACAATACAAAGTTCGATTTTATTCACAGCTTTACAAGCCATGTAAACACCCAAATAAAAATAAGAATTTTATAAAATTTTCAAGAACAAGAATATTTCATAGCAACTAATAACAAATAATTTGCATTTGTTTGCCATATATCAAATGATTATACTATATAAAAATATTTATGAATGTGCATAAGTATGTATGTAGGTATTTTTAGCGTCACGATGAAAAGCGTGAAATTGAAAAACTTCATGTTTTTTGTTTTTGTTTTTAATGAAATGTTTACTAATTGCATTTTAAAGCTTAGAAAAGCACACATACATACATATGTACATATAATATGTACATGTGTATACAAAACGCTATTAGTAAAAATAAAAAAAAAACAGGGGGTCTTCAAACTCCATCGTGAACAGACTCAGATTTCATATTAAAGTTGTCCAAATTGTTTTAAGCCGAGCATACTCGTACATATGTATATGAATATGCAAGTCAAAGCTGAAACACGTTAAAAACGCAAAATTTTGTTTATAATCAACTTAATAGTTGCTTTAACATAGACTGGGTATTAGCTCTATATAAATTTAAAAAAAATTTATTTTTGTAGTTGAAATATTAAACGGTTTCTTAAATACTTACTAATTGGCCAGAAAAAATATATTTCAATAGTAATATTCGAAAATTGCAACAATAACTATTAATTTTATACTTTAATCAATTTTTCTTAAAGTCGAAATTTATTTGATTTCGTACATATTTATTCGCTATTTATGTGATTGCTTTATCAATGAGCACTTATAAGCTTATTAAAACGTCCAGCATAACGATTTATCAGCATAGAAATATTGTCATATACACAAACACACATCTACATATGTACATGTACGTATATATCAAATATGAACAGAGGTGAACACATATGGACATTTGGCAGGTTTATCTCCTAAACTAAAAATATATACGCACAACAAGTGATAAGCATTCATTGGATATGAAATAAAATATAGTAAATATTTATATATAAGACACAAAGCATATTAATTAAGAGGAAAATCGTTTGAAAATCATAGAAAGATAAAATTATATATTTCTATCTAGCAGACCCGACCACTCGCTGTTGTGGCTTGCTGTATTTTGTAGAATTTTTATTCTCATTGATTTGCCATGTAAGCAACCGGTATTTTTAACACGGCGAATTCACACGAGCTGACAATTAACCTACTATGCATAAACTTCATACTAGTTTAATACTAGTTTACTTAGGCACGTTGAATTTCTACTTCACCAAAGCAGAAAAAAGAACTAAATGAAATAAAATTCAGTTTGTCGGCTGCAAGAATCGAGCCGAGGCCCTCACTCACCATAGTGAAGATCTTTGACTGTATATAGAGAGGAAGGAAATCTGCAGCCTTCAACAGAACTTTTTAGAAAATGAAACTCAGCTGTGTCATACCAAAAACAACATACAAATTTCTGTTTCACCACAAATTAAAAAAAAATTAAAATAAAAAAAAATTTATTTCAGCAAAAATTAAAAAAAAAAAAACTTAAAAATTAATTTGAAAATACCTACAGCGATAATCTCTAACCACTCGGCTATCATTTCAATGTCATTTTGTGCACTTCAATAGAACAACGCAGAGAATGGAAGTCAGCCGCGGTCAGCTGATATAACAAACAGTGGTGGAAATTGTTATTTTTCCCTTTACTGGTGGACTTCTTTACAAATAACGAACTGGTATGCTTACATCTTCAATATACTAGTATTTAACTAGAATTTTTGCATACTAGTTGGTTTTCCCCTGCAAGGTTGTTTGTAACCCACAGCCGCAGAATAATAATATTGAGCAGCGAACATTCTTCTTAGAGATGTAAAAAAAATAAATGTTAGCTGGTTCTCAGTCCTACCGAATTTGCACATAAAATTTCATTTAAATCGGCCAAACATTTTCGAAGTGTCTAATACTGTAATTCGAGAATTTTATATATTTAATATTTTTATAAAAAGTGTATAACTATGGATCAGTACCGAAAGCAATATTTTAAAGAATCTGAGTCTTTTTACAATGGCAAATTATTTTTGCAGAGTCTCACATTTCCTTCGATGCTGTCTTTATCTCGTCAATCGTAGCGTAACGTCGTCCTTTCATGGGCCTCTTCAGTTTAGGGAACAAGGAAAAGTCACAGGGGCCAGATCTGGGGAATACGGTGGCTGCGGCATTATTAGTGTGTTGTTTTTGGCCAAAAAGTCGCGCACAAGCAACGTTGTGTGAGCAGGGGCGTTATCGTGGTGCAAAAGCCAATTTTTGTTCTTCCACAAATCCGGGCGTTTCTGGCGGATTGCTTACTTGCAGGTAATACTCATGATGCGCCACGCCCCTGCAATTAATTTTTTCGTCTGTTGTTAAAGTGCTCGGGCGGCCGGCAAGCCTTCGGCCTTCTGAGAACATTTTGTACCACCGATATACGTTGCTTCGGTCCAAGGTAGCTTCTTCTTATGCCACAGTCAACATTCGGAA